AGGGAAGTTGCTCTGGGAGAAGCCAAATACTGAGGCCCCCACACTTTCAACTCATTCTCTGGAGCCCCACCCCTTTTCTCAAGACTGAGGCCATTAGCAAACCACAGGGCCCTCCAACCCCAGTCTAAAGACTGAGACACCTGTTTTATGAGCTCTCTGGTGCTACCACAACCAAAACTACCCTTCCCCACAAAAGCTGTCCCATGCATGTGGAACACAAGCTTACAGGAAGATTGAAGGTTCCAACCATGACATAGCTGTTGGCATTGCGATCATGAACAGAGGTCCCAGGCCCCCGAGCACCAGACGAGGGTCCCCCACCATGGGTGGCTGAGGCAGACCCTGTCCCAGAAGATGCCCCAGAAGGAAGCTGAGTCTGAGGAGGAGCACGTTCCACCAGATGGATAACCTTTCCCCCAACGTCTGGGGAAAACAAAACAAAATAAAATACACCAAAACATTGTATGATCAGGTAAACCTTCAATCTCAGTTCATCCCTCTGGACAGCTACCTCAACCTCTGAAATGCCTCCACCACCCCCTTACTGTATTCCTGGAGCTTCTTATCATCCTGCAGAACTCGTCCCTGGTAAATGAGCCGCTGTTTCTCTGAGGGGATGCTGACAGAGGCAGCAATGTGCTCCTTAAACTCCTTTACATTCATCTGCAAAGAAGAAGACACAAATAAGTATCTGGGAATGAAGGTCAAAAGAGGGACCAATTGACTTGTGGGGGTGATGGGTAAAAACCATCCCATCATAAAATCACTACCCACTTGTCTTGACTGTGCAAAGCCCCAAACTAACACAAACCCTATCAAAATATACACAATGAATGTAACGAAATTCAGTTTCTAGGCCTAGGAAAAAAGTACATGGCTGAGAAACAGAAAAGCCAACTGACATTCCCTTCACACCTCTGCCTGGCTCCCAAGGGAATGTATGTCTAAAGATACCAGTGATCCCTCCCCAAACACAAAACATACAACTCTAATCTCCAAGATAAAAGTAACAACAAGGAAGATCGGTTGGACAATCAGGTTAAGGAAGGAAGACTCAACCAAGACGGAGGAGAAGGCAACAAAAAAGAAACACATTCTTCCTAACTAGACAACTGATTCTTGGGACGTCAGTCTGCTTACATACATATGATCACAAAAACCTGTATAGTTTTCTGGAATACATGTAACACCACGTTTTAAAAACCATGCACCAACTTCTCACAAATTTGTCTCCAAGTATTACAGGAGTAGTAATATAAACAGTTGTGTCCATAGTATTAAGCTCAAAAGATTCAAATTATACCACAAATATTAGTAACTCCACTCAACAGTCTACTAGGGCTCTATCTACATTACCGGTTCTGATTTCCCACTTTTAAAAACACAGTACAGAGACCTGACCAATTTTTGTTTTTAAGACACACTGTGTTTGGGGTCTCTGTGTTCTGTTTCCATTCCCAAAGGCAGGAACCATGTCTGTGCCTTTGAGCTGCAGTTCACTCATGATAATGGCATACAGATTCCTCCTCCCTCCATAATTCCCTCTGCGTTGAGTTCTATCAAGGTGGAGGAAGGCAGAACAAAATCTACTTCATTCAACAGAAACGATATTTTCTCACCCAACAAGAAATATCAGAAAACGTTCTGTCTAGAATATTAACAAAGGAATCCATGAAAGAAAAGCTGAGGACCAGAAAAATCAGGTTCTTCTTTCAGGCTAAAAAACCTACAAAGAGGAAGAGTTAATGGGTGTCTTCCAAAAGTACTGGGGTCTCACCTGGGCCCCCACAATAAAGGTCCGAGTCTGAGAGTCCAGGGTCTTCACCAGCACCTCCAGGCTGTCAGGCTCCTCCATAGTGGTACTGGTACTATTATTGGGCTCCATGGCCTACAGCTCCCTAAGGAAGAATGGAGAGAGAGAGGCCCGCTGTAGCCCAGAGCAGATTTTATATACCCAGAAGCCTCTCCGGCCTGAGTCTCCGCCCCAATAACTAAAGAGTTTCTCCCACACAAGCACACACTCACACCCGCCCCCATCCCCCTTCTAATTCCGGAGCACAGGGAGAAACACAATGGGCAAGAGATGGACGGCACAGGGAGCTAAGGGGACGGGAGGTGGGAGGGGCTCCACGATACCAATCACAATTAAGGAGGGCAAGTCTGGCCAGGAAGCAGGGAAGGAAGGAAGCACAAGACCAGTGTCATCACCGGTCGCGAAAGACGGACTCCAGAGGTCGGCAAACCCTGGGACAACGCGTGAGAGGGGAGGGGTGGGGTGGAGGGAGTGTCGCGCCTAGGCTCTGCGGAGAAAGTGGTTTCGCGCACGCGCGCCAAGCCCATTGAACCCGCCTGTCACGACAGACCCGAGATGACGGACACTGACGGGGGGGCCAGACTGGCTAGCTGACTGCCCCCCTCTTCTGACTTCCTTCGGCTTTCCAGCAGAGCGTCGAAACCAACACACGCCAAATACACACACCACCACCACACTGCGGCTCCGCCCCCGACTTCCCCACGGTACCGTCACTTCCGGTCTCCTCAGCCTGCCACCGACGGCCACTTCCGTTTCCCCGATAGTATTTGGAAATCGCGAGGCGGAACTTCCGGCTCCTCCCCCCGCCCCCGGTCCCAAGCTTTACTTTCGTGAGGCACGACAAGAAAGTCCGCGGCCCCAAACACTGAGTTCCTGGGGTCGAGACGGGCCGGGGCCGGCCTAGATGGGAGGGAGCCGAGCACCCCGAGGAGCCGCCGCCGCCATCGCCCGAGGGGCCGTACTGCGCCTGCGTGCATTGCACTACGCATGCGTACACAGTTAGGCACCGCCCCACCTCTCTGGCGCTGTTAATTTCCCATGGGCACACGCTTGAGCAGTGGGAGATTGAGGTGGCTTCTACAAATGCCTGAAGAAAAATTACCAGATGAGAGTACGACCGCCTCAAGACACTTTGGACATTTGTATGGATCTTGGAGTTTAGCGACTGAGGATTGTGCCTCGTTAAAGTCTTAGTTAGCAGTGACTTTGAGGCGGCACTGTCCTGGCCACCTAAAATTCCATCTCTCTCCATCTCTCTCTCTCCCTCCCCCCCCTCCCTTCCTCTCTCTCTCTCTCTTGCTGCGCGTCTCCTACAGCGCCTCCCGAAGTCACCCTTTTTTTAGGCGGTTGTGGGTGTTTCTGAGCTTTCTTAACGCGGGAGAGCCGTTGGGCCTGACTTTGGGTCGGCCTCGTGGGCGTTTCACGTAGTGTGGGCGCCATGTTCCTCACTGGCAGTGCGTGGCCGAGGGAATACGCCATCCTTTGGAGAAGCTAAGGATTTATCTTTCATGACTTTCATAAAAACAAAAGGAGTGGGGGGCACCTCTGAATTTGGGAACTGGGAGTGATTGAAGTTCGACTGGACCAAAACACAAGACTGTGACCCTGGGGAACTGAAGGGACCGCCAAAGTGCTTCTGCAGGCTGAGGTCCAGGGGGTTACTACATCTCTGCCCTTTTCTCCCACCCCGCCCTCGGGCTAGGGCCTCGGCCCTTCAGCACAGCCACTCCCCCAAGCCATACCGTCGCTGCGGCGTGCCTGCCTCTGGTGCCCAGTCTTTCTGGGATTTGTTGTTTATGTATACCCATGTCCCAGTACTGTTTCAGTTAAGAGGTGTAATAAACACCTGTTTAGTGAGCACTTAGTTTGTGCCAGCCAATTTTCTAAGGGTTTTATGTATTGGCACATTTAAACGCCTTTGAACATTTGAAATAGTTATTACATCCATTTTATATAATGTGTAAACTAACGTAAGTGGCAAAACTGATAAATCCAGGCCTACTAGACCTTTCTGGGTCAGGCACTTCTACATTATTGCCCCAATAAATTGTTTGGGTTTTATTATAAAAAAAGTCAAACATTACTTCAAAACATAATAGTATAACGAACCCTGGTACCCTAAATCGTAAGCCTGCCTCACCTCGCAGGACAAATCCTTTTTTGGCAGTCTGAGTTGTAAATCTATTAAGGAAGCCCCGCCTTTTCATTGCATTAACTCCTCCACCCAGCTGGCATTGTCCAATGACTGCCTCTTGACAATTCTTACCTCCTATTTGAGAATGTATTACCCACTGGAAACTGTAATAAGTGTTTTACAAACATTACTATTAATTTTAGCAAATATTTACTTTGGACTTGCCATGTGCAGGCCTTTGTTAAGGGCTTTTATGCATTGTCTCTTTTAAGCCTATGAGATTGATGATTTACTCATTTTACAGATGAAAAAACAGGCATGAGATTAATGAAATTGTCCAAGTTCTAATAAGTAGTAGAATTAAGGCTTGAGCCCGCTCTGCCTGACACCAATGTCTATTCTCTTTAACCACTAGGTTATGTAGTCTCTTACTTGTGGTAATAAACGTTGAATAAACTCATCTGTCCGTGAACTTTTCTGGATGATGTATATGTTGTTTCCCCAATTATAAACTTCAGGGAGAAAGCCTCCCATCAACCATGCCCCAGCACCAGGTTCATAGCTGTGCTAAAGCACTTATTAGGCTGTATTGCAATGATTTGTTTACACAGCTAGTTTTCCTTAGACTGACTTCTTCAAGGCCAGGGGCTGTGTCTTATTCATGTTTATGTCCCCAGGGCTTAATGAATTTCTGGCAAACAGCTGGGACTCAAAAGTTTGCTAAATGAATGAATCAATCAATCCACCTCTCTTCAATGCAGCACAACACAGCAGATATCCAGCTCAGATATGGGTTGAAAGACCACAGGCAGATATCTGCCTGGAGGACTCAGCTCTCCTTATATTGGGGTCAGAAAAGTCATGATGCATTTTTGCATAGAAAACAGAAAAAATATGTCATGACTTTTCCAACAACCCAATAATTCCCAAAAGACCCTGAACATGCCAGGGTGTATTGTGGAACGGGGAGGAAGGGCCAAACACTGTAAGTAATCCATACTTGGAAAACAAGGTTGAAGTTACTTATTAGCAGATAAAAGGGTCAAGGGTCGAGGCAAGGGGGCTGGAAGCAGAGTGGACTGAGCAGCCAGCGGAGGAGATAACAGCCACTCCACGCAGAGCACAAGCTCCCTATCGCTTGAAGATGTTCCACCAAATTTGGGCAGCTCTACTTTACCTCTATGGCATTCTCCTTAACTCCATCTACCCGTGCCCTGAGCACAGTCAACTGACAACTCAGGGAGTGGATGGGAAAGAGGTATGGAGAATGGGGGAAGCTTATAGTGGGGGCTATGAGGGACTTGTGTGGGTGGCCTAGGGTGACCAGAAGCCACATTGGGAAAGGAAGGGAGGAAGATGGTGTGAGTGTTGTGATGATGAAAGGAAGGACAAGTAAAAAAATATCAGTACTGTGCCCATCAATGGGTGACGTGGTAGACTTGGCAGGACGCAGGGACTGGGGGCATAGTTACTCAGGTTGATTGAGGGCAGGCGAAGAGGAAAAGTCATTTAATGACTCCCTATCATGGAACCAAACCCCAGATGGAAAAAGGCAGCCGACACCTCCACCCCTAAGTCTTGCCCTCCTGACAAAGGTTAGATGAATCCTGTAGTGGAACCCAACCTCTTTTGCTTCCCTTGTTGTCTCTCCAGTTCCCAGAGCCCCACCTGGGCCGGTGGTACTTTATCGCAGGGGCAGCTCCCACCAAAGAGGAGCTGGCGACTTTTGACCCTGTGGACAACATTGTCTTCAACATGGCAGTGGGCTCTGAACCCACACAGCTCCAGCTCTATGCAACCATCCGCACGTGAGTGGTGAGGGGGCAGGCATCAATAGGTACAGTCTCTGCCCAAAGTGTGAAAACCCACCCACAAAGAGCTGGGCTCTTTGGCATATCCACTATTCTTGGCCCACTGAGTTCGACAGCTCTATTAGTTTTCCTCTGGAGAGAGAGGGGCCTAACCATCCCTTGGTAGCTTGAAACCCAAGGGGACCCAGGCTTCAAGAATGAGAGGGAATAAAGGTTGGTACTGAGTGGTTGGGGTGTCACTGTCTTTCCTCTTTGCCACCACCACCTCTGCAGGAAAAATGGGTCCTGTGTGCCCCGAGAATGGATCTACCACCTGACTAAAGGGAGCACAGATCTCAGAACTGAAGGTTGGTTCTCTCCAGCGCTCACTTTCTTCAAGTCCCCTGGGATTGCCTGGTTTTGCATCTCTGTCCTCACACTTCCCCTGCAACCCACCCTGACAGGCCGCCCTGACATGAAAACCAAGCTCTTCTCCAACTCATGCCCAGGTGGAATCATGCTGAAAGAGACGGGCCACGGTTATCAGCGCTTCCTCCTCTACAGTGAGTGGGGAGGCCAGGCAGGATGGGTTGGAGGGAAACATGGGAGGGGCAGAAGAGTCCCTCACTCTGGGCCCTCTGACATCATCCCAGGAAGGGCTGGATGCTTCCAGGAGGTGCTCATCAGGGGCGGTGCTGAAAAATAAGAGGCTTTGATGGGCCTGGCCCTGTTCTGCCTTCCAGATCGCTTGCCACACCCTCCCGAGAAGTGTGTGGAGGAATTCCAGTCCCTGAGCTCCTGCCTGAACTCCAAGGCCTTCTTACTGACTCCCAGGAAACAAGGTGAGAGTGTGAAGTCCCACAGAAGAGGACTGGGACTCACCAAGTCGGCGGGGGCTGGATGAAAGGGGCTCAAGTGATGTCATCAGAGGGCAGGGCCAAAAGCTGACATCATCAGAGTGGCACCAAGTGTGTTGACACCTCCATTTGTGTCATAGGTTGTGATGGCACCAGAGGGAGCCAGGATGAGCTGTGGGCTACTCATAAGAGAGGTTTCTGAGTTGGCAGTAGATAAAGTGGGCAGAGGGGCAGACACGGAGGGAAACAGGCCCCAGAGACCCCTTCTTTGACACGGGGGAAATGAGGGAATGCGTTCTCCCCCACCCATTACCTGCAACCTTGCTTCTCTCCCTGGATTTCCTTCCTTTCCATCCTCTTTTCTCCCTCCCCCCACCAGAGGCCTGCAAGTGGCCCAGTGACTGACCTGTGGCTTCATCTGTGCCCCCAGACGGATTCAGTGGGAGCTAAGATTGTAGTGGGGGAGAGAAGCTGGAAACTCCCTTTCAAGAGTAATAAAGATGATTTTTCAATCCTCATCTCATCTTGGGGTTTGTCTCCAGACATCAATCTCACTCCCATTTCAAAACTCCCCTGAACCTTCTACTACCTAAATCCCCAGCTGGGCGGCATCAGAAAGGACACTGAGTGGCAGTAACTCTCTTTGTAGTGATATATTTAGGATCTGGTGTGACACAGTGATTTATTGCTGAGTGGGGAACCTCTAATCTGTGTGGGGACTGCAAGCTTCAGGGCTTCCCCACACTGTCTGTCTGGGATGCCAGCCCCAGGCTGGCCCTCCTGCCAATACCGTCTGCTCCATCCCCACTCCCTCTGGCTTCCAGGGACACCCAGAGCTTCCTTGCAGGGTTCCTGTCACTTGTGTGTCCCATCCAGACCCCAAATCCACCTGCCTACAGTCCGTCTTCTCTAGATGGCTCAGGTCCCAGGATCCAAGGGGTCCTTTGGGTCTCCCAACCACCCTTCACCCCAGCCAGAGGTCTGTCTGTCCCTGGGAAGTCTTGAAAGATAGAGAAGACCCTTTAGTCTTTATCCTCCACCACCACACTTTTTTTTATTATTTTAAAAAGTGAAGGTGGAAAAAAAAAAACCATAGGTGGGAGAAATGTAAAACAGCTGGTGAATTTGAGGGCCATGTCTCCACTGTCCATAAACCTAGACATCCTAAACAGCTTTTCTCTCCTGTGGGTGAGGAGGGTCCTATGCTCAAACTCGAGGGTTTCTTCCCCATCCCTGAGCTTACAATCTGGGTCATGCCCCCCACTCTCCTGCTAAGGCCACACTGTCTTCACCCTTGCTCTCACCCCACTGCGGGTGAGGTCCTGGGTCACACCCCACTCTGCAGTCACAGCCCCTTTCCTGGGTCTCCCCTCTGCTCCTCACCCTCTCTCCCCAACTTCTCACCCTCCAAATCAGTGGCCTCCTCATTCCCACTGGGCTCCCGGAGGCTGACAGCCAGCACCAGGGCCTGTAGGAGACCAAAGAGGCAGGCGAAGTGCAGGGGGTGAGCAGTAAGCAGGCTCAGCACAGCATGGAGACCATGCAGGGCAGCCAGGAAGGACAGCAGCCCATGCAGCCAGAGGCCCAGCCGTCCGCTCAGGCCCAACGCATCCAAGGCTGCCCGCAGAGGCCGCGAACACAACCCCAGCAGGGCTGAGGCCAGCAGCTCCAGCAGGTGCAGAGTCAGGTTGGTGGAGATCTGCAGACATTCCTCTGGGCCCCCCAGGTACTGCAAGCGAGCCCCTGCTCCCCCACCTGGTTCCCCCTGCAGCCAGCCCAGCAGCTTCTGATGTCGGCCGGGCTTCTTCACTGGTGTTTCAGGCCCAGGGGGGTTCAGTCCCCCTTCAGGGGACAGTCCAGACCTCCTGGTGCCACCTGAGTCCACAGGATGCCATGCCAGTTTAGGAATGGCCCCTGCAGCCTCCAGTCTCCCAGACTCTTGAGTGCTAGAGCCAGTCTTGTCCCTCTTGAGGGAATCCATTCTTTTGCTCCCCAATTGCTCAGCTCGGGTCTCCCTGCTTGGTTCTGGAGCAGCCCCAGAGCTCCTCCGGGCCCCTGAGTCTTTGGTCTTGGAAGGCCCCACATCTCCTATGGTTTCTGGGGCACTGTCCCAGTCACTCCCTGAATTTTCGGAGCTGTCCACCTGCCTGGGTTCTGGGGTGGGCAGGTCAGGCCTGGGTTTCCGGCGGCCCCACGGGCGAGGTAGCCAGCCACCAAGCCGTTGCAGGAACATGGTTGGGGTGCGTAATGAGTCCCCAAATTCTGGAGCCGCTTCCTAGCACTGCTCAGGTTTGAGGGCTGAGGGTCTCCTCAGAAGCCAGAGTCTGTTCAGGCTCAGAAGCACAGGTATCTCCTTGGTGCGTCCTACTCTGAATTCAGAAGTGGCTCCCCACTTCCCTGGCTGGTCTTACAGCCTCAAGTGGGGCAGGCAGCTTGTCTCCTTTTCAGTTTTGAGGTAAAGAAAGGAGGCACATCCAAATTCACTCACTACCGCTGCTCCCCACACACAGGATTCCAAGAGTCTCACGATCTGACAAGGTCTGGGTCACCCGACAGTGTCCTCCCTGGGTTTCCGGGTTTCATTCCCAGCAAGCAACACCCCAAGTTTCACTCACCAAAGGCCACGTCCCAAGGTGCCCCAAAAACTGGGGAGGCGGTGCTGCATCCAAGAAGGATGGTAGCCTCAGGTCCGAGGTGCTCCGGATCAGGGAAGTCCTGAACTGCTGCCCTAAAGGAGCTCAGGGAGAAGAAGTCTCCTGTTGGGGGTTGGGGGGAGGTGTCCGGCGCACTCTAGCCAGCAGCTTTCGTCCTATGATTCAGAGGGCTATGAATCCTACAAAGCGGCCGGACCCGCACCCGATCACGCAGCTGAGACGCGGGCTCCGCAAGGTCAGGCCGGAGACGTCCTCCGAGATCCCAGTAGCGAGGCAAAGCTTGGGCCTGCCTGGAGACCCAGGCGTCCGGGCTCTGTGTGCTGCGGCCCCTCCCGGGCCCAGCGTCAGGGCCGGGGCGTCACGGAATCGCCCGGAGCCACAGAGCCCGGAAGCAGCTGCACCAGGACGGGAGGCCCAGGAGGGGCGGAGCCGGCAAATCGCGGGGCGGACCCTGCGGACTGCCCGCCCTCCGGGTCCCTGCGCCAGTAGTGCGCGCCATTAGTGCGCCTCGGGCCGCTTGAGAGGCCGCCCGGGCCTGTGTATTGGACCCAGCCCTCCATATATGTCGCCCAGAAGCCCGGGGGCAGCCAGTGCTCCCAGGAACTCGCCCGCCCCCTTTAGTCCCCGCCCTTGTACCTCCCACCACTTGTCTTGGTGTCCATAACTTCATGAAAGGCTTTTCCGGAAAAGTAAGCTATGAGAGGGGTTTTGGGGAAATGATTAGCTGTTCCCTGCCTTTCCGTGCAGATTTTACTTCCTGCGTTTGACAATAGTGAGCTCTTCATTCGTCTGGCACCTGATATGAGCAGCACAAGAGATGAGGGAGGCCTTTTGAGCTCCTTTTGCTCATCCCGCTCCAAACTCTTTGGAGTGTACTTTCTCTTCTAATAATGGCCCTTGAGCCATTCTCTGCTGTTGCGGTCTGCTTCAAACTCTTTGGAGTATACTGTCTCTTCTATATAAACTGCTTTTTCACTACTTTTAAAAATGAAAAGATGAGGGAGGGGAGAATGGGAAAAACCAGCGTGAATGAAAAGGATGTGCTTCCTGCCCTCATGAGTTTTCAGGTAGTGACTTAAAATTTAGATTTGGGAGGCCAGAGTTCTGATCCCAGTTCAGCTAACAGAGTACATGCCAGATAACCTCCCACCACACTGGCCTCTTCCTACAAGACTACCCACTCTAATCACCTCTGTGAGCCTCCCTTAATCACTATGCATTGTTTGATCACATGGCTTTCTCCTCCTCCAGCTGGAAGCAACTTGGAAATTAGGTGTCTCTTATTCCTCTTCTTACCACATAGTATGTATATGAATTTGTGATTGAATTAGCTGGAGTAGTCAGAGGATGCTTGGGGGACGGGGAGGGGGAGACTTGCATAGAGCTGGGCAATTCCCGACTCCGGGTTGAAAGAATAGAGGTAGTAGTGCACTCTAGGCAGGGCCTAGGACCTGGCAGTGAACCAGACTGGCAAGGAAGTGACCCTATCATGCCACCTGGAGGGGCTGCTCCTATTGGCTCAGGTGGGACTTGCATGTGGCCCCGACTTGCTTGGCTTCCCAAAAAGTTAATAAAACACAGCTTTTCTAAAGTTCACGTGTCTGTAAGATCAGACTGTGAACTGCTGCTGTTGGAGTCATGGCAGGGCAGGCATTTAGAAAGTTTCT